AGCTGTTCAATCAACTCTCTAGCGATTTTCGACTTAGCTGTTTCATGGGGAACCTTACGCTAGAGCTTTATTCAATCAACTCTCTAGCGATTTTCGACTTAGCTGTTTCATGGGGAACCTCAAGGGAAGTTATAGGAGGGTAATGGGTGTTGATGATTATGATTCCAAGTTGTGTTTACAAAGCCAACTTCTGTCCACGACTTTGGATCAAAAGGATATGATGGTATATCATTTAGGTTCAATAAAAGAATGGCTACAAGATCAAAGAGTGCTTATCATTCTTGATGGTGTAGATGATCTAGAGAAACTAGAGTCTTTGGTTAAAGAGCCTTCTTGGTTTGGTTTAGGAAGTCGAATCATCGTTACCACAGAAGATAAAACCATTTTGAAGGGACATGGGATTGACAATATCTACCATGTGGGTTTTCCACCTCTAGAAGAAGCTCTTGAGATCTTATGTCTATCTGCATTCAAACAGAGTTTTGTACAAGATGGTTTCGAAAAGGTTGCATATGAAGTAGCAATGCTTTGCGGTTATCTTCCGTTAGCCCTTCGTGTTGTGGGTTCATCTTTGCTTGGGAAAAGCAAACACGAATGCGAACTCCAATTATCTAATATCAAAACTAGTCTTGATACAAAAATTGAGGATGTATTAAGACTGGGATATGAGAGATTATCGAAGAAAGATCAATCTTTATTCCTTCACGTTGCATGCATCTTCAGTGGTTATTTTGTTGGTGTTGATGTCGTGACAGCCATTCTCGCTGACAGTAATTTGGATGTCGAAAATGGGCTGAAGACCCTAGCCGCTAAATCTCTTGTGGAGCTCGACCACGCACGGCGTAAACAGCTAAGGATGCATGATCTATTACAACAATTGGGTAGACAAGTAGTTCATGAACAGTCAGATGAGCCTGGGAAACGTCAGTTTTTAGTAGAGGCTGAAGAGATTCGTGATGTGCTAGCAAATGAAACAGTAAGTTCTTACACATATATATTCTCTAGAGATCTTGCCTATTGCTTTCATTACAACAATTTGATCAGTCGAAATATGTTTCTGTATATTTGAATTGCAGTGATATTTCATAAGAATGAGTATTACCAAGGGATAAAAAATTTGCATAAACCAAACTGAATCAAATCAAAACTGCCAACTGAATTATATAATAATCTGAATTGATACATAAATTTATAGACTAAAGTACCGAAACGAAATTCTAATTATACAACATCGAACTTTGTTTATGTATTTTATATTTTCTGAATTGGTTAATTGATTTTTCTCTGCGGGGTTGTGATTTAATCTCTTACAAATCTATAGAAAATAAAATATTTAATTTTGGTGAACAAAATTAGATCAACCGTTAATATAAATAAAATCAAACTAAGAATGTTACTGTAAAACCATTGATCGAGAAGAATATCATTTATTTATTTATTTTTATGTTTTTATTATTTGATTTACAATTAGATTTTATTACATCTTTTAAAATTATTAGTTTTTCTTAGTCATATGTAAATTTCGTAAATGTTTTTTACTTTTAATCTTATTTTACTATTCAAATATCTATTTTTGAAAATGTTAATGGATTATTTTTCATATTTATATTTGAACTATTTTTACTATTCAAGATTTTATAACTAGTAAAAATCAAAGACTAAAAGACAAAAGACAAAAATTAGATCACTCTATTTAAATCTTATTATATAAAGCTTGATACATCAAACATGATAATTAACTATGTAAAACAAGCTTTAATTATTACGTGTTAACTCACTTGACACGTGTCACAATCTTGTTAATTATTACGTTTGACATAATAATGTTAATTATAAGATATTCATTGTTAGATTAGTTGTGAAGATCAGTTTCAAGATTTTGATTGCTCACACAAAACTTTCAAAACAAAATTAAATAATATTCAATCGTTAAAATATCTTTACATGTTCATAGATTTCAAAAACAAAAACGAAAAATAATTTCTTTTAGTTTTGTCGAAATTATGTAGCTTTACGTCAAAATGGAGATTGTGTACCTTTTTGCGATAACATCCCTGAGATAACTCAAATTTTCTACTCAAATGGTTAGTACAATTTATACTCATCTATTTGAGATTGGAATTCATGCTTTTTATCTACCGTATATATAAAATCAAACTAAAAATTAAATAACTCATTTTTGGTGAGAAATATCAAATGAGTCTAGCCATATAATATCGGAAGCAATAAAAAATTAATTTTTTTTTTAAAAATACCACTTTTCAAAAATGTCATATTTTCAAAATTTTTGCAAAAATGTCACTTTAAAAAAAAAATATTATTTATGTTTGGGTTAATTATGTTCTATTAGGGTTTAGTTTTGAGTGTTTAGGGGGTTTTAGGTGTCAAAACATTTTTAGGATTTAGAATTTTAAGATATAGGCTTTATAAATCTATAATTAGTGACATTTTTGTAAATACCCCTAAGTGGCATTCTTGCAAATGTGCACACAAAAAGTGATATTTTTGTAATTGTCCCAACCATTTTTAGGATTTATAATTTCAAGATTTAGGCTTTAAAATCCATAATTAGTGATATTTTTGCAAATAGACACTCTTAAGTGGCATTTGTTACAAAAGTATACACCAAAAGTGACATTTTTGCAATTACTCTAAGAAGTTTCATCTTCTTTTTATTGTTGAAACGTGCATCCTCATAATTTTGACCATGAAGCAAAACTTGAATTTTTTTTGGGAGGTTAGCTAGAATAACCTAATTTTTTTTTAAATAGCTAGAATAACCTTATTATCCTATTCTGGATTTTTTTTTATTTCATAATACCAAAATTGTTCTTCTCAGATTCTACCGAAATATTGGCAGACTCTACCGAGACATTGGTAGACTAGCAGACTGAGATATAAGTCTACCAACATTTTAGGAAATTTTTAAAGCGTCTACTAGAAAACCGCAGACTCTGCCGAAACATTGGTAGACTCTGCCGAAATATTAGCACACTGCTAAGATTTTGGCAGACTTTACCGAAACATTGGTAGACTCTACCGATATATTGGCAGACTCTACCGATGTATTGGCATACTCTGCCAATATCTAGAAATACGCAGACTCTTCCAAAACATTGGTAGACTTTGCCAAAACATTAGCAGACTCTGCCGAGATATTGGTAGACTCTGCCGAGATATTAGCAGAGTCTGCCAGTATCTAGAAAAGCGTAGAGTCTGCCGAAACATTAGTAGACTCTGCCGAGATATTGGTAGACACTGCCAAATAAACGCAGACTCTACCGGTATATTGGCAGACTCTACTAAAAAACGCAGACTCTGTCGAGGCATTGGTAGACTCTGCAAAAAAAATTGTAAATTTAAAAAAAAAATCATAATCTACGAAAACATTGATAGACTTCTGGAGTGTTTTCCATTTTGTTGATAATGATTTTTTAAATTTTGTATCTATTTTCTTATTTGAAATGTTTTTGTTTGAAATTAAATCCATTTCTAATGTTAATTAGTTAGTAGGGATATTTTTGGTATTATGAAAGAAAAAAATTAAAGTAGGTTATTTGGACAATAAAAAATTTAAGAAGTTATTCTAGTAATTCTTTTTAAAAAGTAGGTTGTTCTAGATAATTTTTTTTTGGGATGTTTTTTATCAACATTAAACAAACCTATAAATTAGTAAATGTATTACTTGTTGGGGAATGTAGATAAGTTTAATACGGGATTAATGCTAATGGTTTGTCAATC